AAGCGTTCTCTTAATAGTTGTAAGCGATTTTATATCTAAATAAAGGTTTATTCTGGAAATTTATTCGTAAAGATATTGCTGTCATGACTTGCTTTTTGATTTTGAGCAAAAACTAAAAATTTACATCTTGATTCTGATTGACTCATCAGTATAATAAAGTTAGTTACAACATATTTATTATTCGACAGAAGCTGTGAGATCATTGAAGTTGATTGCTTCAATGTAAGACAGAAATGAACCAAAGACATTGGTTGAAAAGCTCGAACTTTGTGAAAAGAATAGAAGGGATTCACAGAAAGCAGAAAATGAACAGTAGTAGAAAATTGTTTTTGTTTCATACAACAATATAAGTGTGCAAGGAACAATATATACTAACTACACAAGCGAATACATACATTTTAACACATAATTATAAATAGAAAGATGTGAAAGATCAAGGAAATAAGTAAGAAAAGAATAAGTGAAGCAAAGTAGAACAATCAAAATTAAAACTAACTTCTACACACACACACACACACACACCTATTTATAAGTTAATCTATGGTTTATAAATGAATTGCCCATTCGACAAACGTCTTTTCAATTCAGACCATAAAAGCTGACGTTCTCTAAGTGTACAATTTAACACGGAACCATTTTCTAATGCACGTCTAGATAGATATGGTAAAACTTCTTCAACAGGACCATATGGAACATATTTGTATACAGAGTAGCCAGCTTGACCTTTAATGTTTTAAAAAAAGAATATAATTTCGAGAGAAGTGACATCAAAAGTATATTGAGAAAAAGGTATAACTCCCATCGAAATATGAAATAATAAAAGTATACAGCAAAATAATTCTATACAACAAATCGTTTTCATGACGAACTAACTTCAATTGGTGAATCACTAAAAATTATGAAGCATAAGATAGTTGTTTCTTTTAAGGATAGAACTGTTCAACAGTACACATCCAAGATCACATCAGGGATTGAACTCACGACAGATATAATTGATTTGATTTCGTTTAAAAACGAATGCAATAATCCACATTTACTTAGAAAATACTACTTAAAATTTACAAAACTATTCTTTTGATCCATTTTGGTTGTACACTATATATTGATTCACTCTGATAAGCCTCGTTACAGAAATCAATCAAATGTACCAGAAATGGTCGGTTTTTAACAAGTAAATGGTAATAAAAATAATCGATTAATATAATCACCAAAATGTTGACAATAGTTTCAATTATAAATTAATTATGATAATCAAATCATCAGCATATAAATGTTACTCTTATACATTCAGAATTCATTTAACATTGAAATAAAAAGATGAAATTCATTTGTACGTAACTTGTTGAAGTCATTAAACAAGGATTAACTTACTAGTATAGGGGTTGTGGAGATTATTAAGTTTGTTTTTTTTATCAACATGTGCTGACTAGTGACTAGCTTCGTGAGGGAATTCTCGGAGTTCTAGTGAGAAGCCGTGATCAGTGGAGCTAATCCATGTCGGGTAGAGACAGGTATCTACCTCAGTACAATGAAAGTTGGTCGCGGAACTTCGTAGATTGGTCGATGTTAGACACTATCACCATTGGATGCCGACTCAGTGGTCCAGTAGGTTAAGCGTTTGCGCGCGAGACCGAAGGCCCTAGGTTCGAATCCCGCAAGCGGGATCGTGGGTGCGCACTGCTGAGGAGTCCCATAATAGGACGAAATGGCCGTCCAGTGCTTCCAGGTTTCCAAAGGTGGTCTAAAATCAATCGGTTCATGATCTCAATCAAAACAAAAAAATGATTAACTTACTTAATGTGAAACTAATCTGATCACACATCCCAAGCAATTGACCAAAACAAATAAGTCGATCTTCCCGTGCTACATTATATTCATGCATTCTATGTAGAAAAAAATGTGAATTATAACAAACTGATGTATTTACATAGTGACATATGAAAATGTTAATATCTTTTTATTTCATTAAAAAATGACTGGTTTCTATGAGAAAAGTGTGTTTTCCCTGGGTAAAATTCCCCTCTTATTATAATATCTCTAACCATTTGCGGGTTATTTACAAAAAAACACAACTTCATCATTTCATTTCAATCATTGAGTTTTCGTTATTATGCTACAGCCGACTTAAAGATTCATTTATTCAATCATTCAACAAACGGAGAATAAAGAACTAAAATGCTTAGAATGACAATCAAAGAGAAGTTATTAGGTAAATGATCTTTAGATTACCCGATAATAATAATAATGGGCCGCTAGATCCACAAGCTCGCTTCAAGAATTATCGTCTTTTAAAATACTACTGATAATAAATGGTAACCAAAGATTCTCACATCCTATTAGTGCAAAGGTATCAGTTGTTTATAGTATTTTATGAAAGACAGACAAGTTGATAATAAACAAAAAACGAAAGAAAGAGGAACTAGGGAATATAAACAAAATTCTAAGAATAAACTACTATCCAAAAAAATAGGAAACAATATGGAACTTTTTAGAAAAAAACACTCTGAAATCATCAACTACAACAATTGTCGTTTTATACAGACTATACACATCAGACCAAGTCAGAATATTCAACACTTGTAATATCAGGGTATTCTTTAGGACCACAAAGCAACGCAGTTGATGTAAAAGAGAAAATACCGAAGGATTCATCATCTAATCTTATATAGAAATAAAATGTCCAGACTGAGACGGAGTATAAATTGGACAAGCTTCTTGAAAAATCAAGATCAGAAGAAATGGACATCATAGAACTTCTCTGTTCGACTAATGAGAAATTCAACAGAACTTCAAAAATAATCTCTGGGTATATCTTTACTCGCTTTAATACCAGACCGCAAAATTGATATTTATAGTAATGAAGTTGTTAAGAGAAATCTCGAAACTCACAAAGAACGTCTCATAACAGTAACCACTTCACATAAAATGAAATTCAAATCATTTGAATAAGAATGAGGATTTTAAAAAAATGGTTTGATCTTGCTCCAACACTCTCATCACTTAAAGTAACCTAACATTGTCAATATAATTGTATTTTTTTTTAAAAAACATTCACTACATTAACGCATGTTGTTTTTAGAATTCATACACTGTTCAAATCAAATTATATATACCACAATAGGACGAAACGGCCATCCACTGCTTTCAGGTTTTCCATAGTGATCTAGCTTCAATGGGCTCATGATCTCAACTATTAAGATTACTATAATATCCACAAAAAACCCCTTCTATTATACATGTTTGTTATCCTTATTATTTCATTCACTAGACAACATAAAATTGTTTCATATCAAAGAAATTTGATTGGGTTCTTATATATTAACTGAGACTTTTGATAAAACAATTAGCATCATATAGCGAAACATCAGGAAAAACACAACGTTGTTATGTTTTCCCACGCATTGAAAAATACAAATTCTAATAATGAGCGCATAAAGAAATATTGAAATCCGAGATTTAAAGGAAGATAATAAGTCTTGTATTTGCTTCACAGTAACCCATTCAGAGTCACGTAACACAAAATCCTCGACCACTGATCATGACTTCAATCAGGTAGTTACCACTAACAGATACGATTTAGTTAAGGCTGATTGAATTGTCTTCATTTATCTGATGTATTGAAGATGTTTTAACTTACACTGAACACTTTAAACCATATTACAACTGTTAAGAAATTAATTAACTTGTATGATGGATTCTAAGAATTCATTTAACTTTGAACACCACATAAAGGTTAAACACTATATACACCATATTTTGAAAAGTCAATATTACTGAAGTTATGCCTTATCGCACCGATATTAACTATTAATATAAATTGCATGCTTATTTTTTATAGCACTTCATATTTAAAGAAAAATATTTCAAAAGGTGCAAAAATATTAAGCAAGGGGATCTAAAGCGAAATTCAACCTATACCTTTTCGCAATGGTCCGGTAATGGTGGGACTGTGTTCAATGAACTGAAATGAACAATCAAGGAAGAACAGCCTATTTCATTACTGTTGTATCCGGATCTCTAAGTGTCATATATGGAGAGTCATCGCCGTTATATCTGGGTGAACTCTGTTGGGTCCGCGGTCTTACTGTTTTTACAGGACAACTGGGATTTACTAGTTATTCCATTCTACTGCTTATACTGGTTAACGGAAGCCAAAACTATCCCCATGATACAGAGTGAAAAAGAAAGTCCAAACTTGTCATATTAAACGAAGTTCATAATAAAGTGATCCCAAAACAATATTGACCTGAATATTATTTTCTTCTATTCCCATCACATTAACTATTCGACAGAATTTCTGAACTAAGCCCATGTTTAACTCGTGACGGATGAATGGCTGCTCAGAATTTATACCTATGTATACGCTATAGAAAGCATATATAGATTTGGCTTGTTTCATATGTGCATATATTGTATACTTGTACAAAAAATGTACGCTTTGCAGTACATATATCATTGACTTGTGTATTTCAGGTGTACATATAATATGTACTTGCTCCAAATCAACCGGAATTTTAATACGAAGTAGCGAATATCGAAAATGAGAGTGAAGACCATGTCAACCTCATAATCACGGCATTTATATTGTTTGCTATAGTGTGCATGTAATGCGAATTTGCAGAAAATCCAGAGCTGGGGATCCATCCCACTTACTAAACAATAACAAATTCTAACAACTTAGTTTTTGGGGCTTAACATACAGTTACCCACTGAAAACATACATCTCCCTCCGGTATATTTGCCGCTCGAGTTAATAAAAACATTATCCAGATAATCAAGTTGACTTTCCAAGAAGATTTCACCATCCTTCATGGCTGGAATAGGGTAAACAATGGAAAATACCACTGATAAGTATGGTTGTGGACGATAGGCTTAGTTGATTCATACTCATTTTACATCTAATCTTTACATCTTGTTCCGGAAATTATATGAGACATTGTCAGCCTGCGACCTGACATGAAGTTAGGCAATATACATGACCTTTACAACCTTTAAATTCAAAACAACATTCCCAAAATGACTTAACTCCGAATAACTGTTCATCATTTCCACCTTCTGCTCACAAATAATGTGTCCCTTTATTACATTAAATCAATGATATTCCACTAAAACAGTTGTTTTCATTATATTTATGACCTTTCCTATGATTGGTTGCTTACAGCGTAGCTGAATGACCTCAGCATTGATAGATTTGCACTATTAAATCTATCATTCGCTAGTTGTGAATAAATTATGCTCCGATTACATTGATGGTCTGTTGATTAGATTTCTTCTGCTTCCTAAGACTATCATTGATTCCTGCTACATATTGAAGTGATTATTTTGTTTGAAAGCAACAAGTAAATCAAGAAATATAAAAAAACCCAGATAATTATCTTATACTACTTGTATAAAATTGTTTCACTTAAGTTTATAATTTAATAATTACTTGCTTTCATCAGTCACTTATCTACACAGGGTACTAGAATGGGAAAAAATAAAACAGTAAAAATGTTTTTGTGAGCAACGTTATGAAATAAGACATGAGATAAACTAAGCTAATAGATACTACTAACTTTTTTAAAGCATATCGAACGGTATCTTCATTATGACTAGCTATCATAACACTAACTTGACCGCTTCTGCGTTTTTTAATAGCTTTAAACACCTCCTCTAGACATGATTCATACATGGCTGTTGTAGCGTTGAAGTCTGAACAAATTGGATCTTCGTACCCTAACTCTTTGGCACGTGCACGCTCCTACAACAAGAATTATAGAGAAGCTTTAAAGTTATTATGAAAAAGGAACACGTGGATAAATGACTTGATGTTAGTTAAAAACCCTAAGGTATCTGTGCCTACTGTAAGCATAATGAACCTAAAAAATGAATGATTCAAGGAAGAGAGGAGTTGCAAAGTGTAGGGGAACAAAAGTATTATGTTCTTAGCTTATATGATTGCAAAAAATTAAAACACGCGGATTTATACGACCAACAAATGACGTCTACACCTGAACGAACAGCCTGGCGCCCTGGTTGGTTCTCTTCCTTGCCTGTCAAGTCTGGAACACTAATCTCAACCCCCGAGATATGAATCGTATATTTCAAACATACTAGGTTTATATACAAACCAAACATACCATATCGTACCACAAAATAGGAAATAACATTTGTACAAGATCAAGCCAAAAATTGGCTGTGATTGTGGGAAAATGTAATTAATAAACGGGGCATAACTTAGGAATGGTAAATCGTATAATAATAGTCTACAGGTCAAAATAAAGCTTGTAATAAGAGGAATATGAATAAACATAATCTAGTCACTTAACGATTACACAATAAAAATATATGTATAGTATTAGTCCAAAAATAGATCCCAACAGTTACCATTCATTATTTTCGTAGAGATATAACAAAAATATTTTTCTTGGTCGCAATTAAACTACACAATGATTTTATCAACCTGAATAATTTCGAACAATCAGAGTGACTAGTTGAAACCTCTTTCATGTATGACAAATTAGTTAAGCTTAATAAGTTGAAAGAAATACTCCGTTCATTATTTGATTAATTAATTGTCTGCTTGTACTAACGAGATTTTCTAGAGTTTTCTGCATTATTACTTTGATACATTGAATGAAGGTGACACGAGAAATGAAAACTAGGAATCAAGTAAAATTTAATCCCTGAAGAATAATAACAAATGATCTAGAACTAAACCCTAGCTTACAACTCACGCAAAAATATGATTATTAACTAAACATTGAATAAAACAACGTAGATATTCTTTTATTTAAAAAAGTACTACTTATTTATATCCCGACCGTTGTTGCTGCTTTGATGTGGTGGTCGAACTTGCCTATCATAAAGAACTAGTCCAGATATACTGGCTGGAAGAATCGCTCCTCAAGGTCCTACCATACCAGACAGGTCGATCGAAGAGCGGTAAGACTAAAACCAGCAAACCACAGGTCCGAGGGCGAAGTCGTACTGCTGACTGTACAGCGGTGTGACAGCAGTAAGGTGTTTTCTTCAGACAACCAGCATAACAGTGATGATGGTGGGGTAGAAAAATTCGACCGTAAAAATGCTTAACTCGTCTTACCCATGGATACCCCTCTCCGGAGGTAAGGTCCTGACAAATAGGGAGCTGAAACGAAAATTACTCCCAAAATGGTCGGTTGTGACCGGCCTTAAGCAGTTGTCCCTTGGGCACTGCGGTCACGCCCTCAGGTCACCAATACCACCTCTAACACAATTTCCTTTTCACGGACCGATAGAAGAACCCTTCTACGGTGTGGGCAACCGGGAAGTGATAACCGTCCTCATACCTCACCTCTAACAGCACTCAAGATCACTGTATTCATAATCAACCTCCCTGACTGACTAACTTATTTGTATGGGACTATCTTATAAAATGAAAGGTTGTAGTTGTATGTACATATTCGATTAAACTGTTTAACATTTTCATAGTTCAAATAAAAATGTAAATTCCAACCAATTAAAATACAAATAACGACATCATTTTAGTAGTTATCTATCCATTACATATACCAGCTGAAGTACTGAAGTCAGACATCGAAGTAACTACAAACACACTTCACCTTCTATTCAAAAAGATTTGGGAGGAGAAACAAGTGCCGATGGACTGGAAAGAAGGACACCTCATCAAGATTCCAAAGAAAGGAGATCTGAGCAAATGTGAAAACTACAGAGGCACTACACTACTGTCAATACCAGGGAAAGTCTCTAACAGAGTGTTGCTAGATCGGATGAAAGACGCAGTAGATGCCCAACTTCGAGATCAACAAGATGGATTCTGTAAGAATCGGTCGTGCACAGACCAAATTGCAACACTACGGATCATCGTCGACCAATCAATTGAGTGAAACTCGTCACTGTACATCAACTTCATTGATTATGGAAAGGCATTTGACAGCGTGGATAGGAGGACGTTATGGAAACTTCTTCGACACTACGGAGTTCCTGAGAAGATTGTAAACATTATACGGAACTCATATGACGGACTGCAGTGCAAAGTAGTGCACGAAGGACAGCTGACAGATGCATTCCAAGTAAGGACTGGAGTCAGACAAGGCTATCTACTCTCTCCCTTCCTCTTTCTTCTGGTGGTCGACTGGATTATGAAGACCTCGACATCTGAGGGAAAACACGGCACCCAATGGACAGCTCAGAATCAATTAGACGATTTGGACTTCGCACATGACTTAGACCTCCTATCGCATGCAGATAAAGACAGCCAGTGTAGCAGCACTCTGCATCAGTAGGCCTCAACATACACAAGGGGAAAACCAAGGTCTTCAAATACAACACGGAGAACAGCAATCCGATCACTCTTGATTGCGAAACTCTGGAAGATGTAGAATCCTTCACATACCTGAGAAGCATCATCGATGAACAAGGAGGTTCAGATCCAGATGTAAAGGCGAGGATTGGCAAAGCATGGACCGCATTCCTACAATTCAAGAACATATGGAACTCAAAACAACTTTCAACCAATATCAAAGTGAGAATCTTCAATATGAACGTCAAGGCAGTTCTACTGTACGGAGCTGAAACTTGGAGAATTACAACCACCACTATCAAGAAGGTATAAGTATTCATAAATAGTTGTCTACGCAAGATACTCAACATCTTTTGGCCGGATACCATCAGCAACAGCCTTCTCTGGGAGAAAACAAACCAGCTTCCATCTGAAGAAGAAATTAGGAAGAGACGATGGAAATGGATAGGACATACATTACGCAAATCATCAAACTACATCACGAGGCAAGCCCTAACTTGGAATCCTGAAGGGAAGTAGAAAAGAGGAAGGTCAAAGAACACCATACGTCTTGAAACAGAAGCAGATATGAAAAGGATGAATAACAACTGGAAGGATCTGGGAAGAATTGCCAAGGACAGGGTTGGATGGAGAATGCTGGTGAGCGGTCTATGCTCCTTCACGAGGAGTAACAGGCGTCAGTAAGTAAGTATCCAATATATTGATTGCTACAGGTTATTTAGATTGTCTTTTTTATAGAATTTCAGATGTATATGATAATAAGTGATTATGAGTAAGATTATTGAATAATTCAGTATGTTATTTCTTTTGCATTCTGATCATTTCTACTATGTATTCATTTAATTCTGGAATTTGTTTTAATTTACGATTATTTCAATATAATGAATAATAACTGAAAAGAATAACTAGATATTACAGAGTGGTATTTTTTCTGGCAAGCTATGTAGTTTTTTCATATTCGGGGTTTAAGTGTTTAGGACAATAGCGTCATGGAGTAATTTTGAACATTTTTGAGCTTACTTTTGCTTAGCCAAGTGCAGGTTATGGTAATATTTATCTTGTTGAAGACAGTTGAAAACTAAGAACACATGTTGCATGATGTGCGGTAACATCTTGTACAAGGACACAGCTATATCTTCCAAGTTTTACATATGGTTGGCCTACTTCGTTTAAGAAAAATGTAATAGGTTCTAAAGGGCTAGTTATGCGATAAGAGAGATACAATTGTGTATATGTGTATGGGGGAATGAAATGAATAGGCAACATTAATCTGGCCAAGATCATCTTTCACTTGTTCCCACCAGTCTGGTTGCCTGTAAATATGTATAAGCTATTGGTCAATCAGTCAAACGCTACGTATAACCTAGTGTGAATGTAAATCCGTTCAAGTTGCCATATTCTATTAACGATCCTGTAAACTTTTATTTGGTTTTTGATAAATAAGTTGTCACATGGAGCTTCAGTCTTCTTATATTCAGTATATCTAATGGTTTTCTCTGATACGTCAGTTTTATTTTTGCCTGCAACATGAGGTTTTTTATTGTAGATTCTAAAGAAAAATATTTAAAAAACTAGCTCATTCAAACTAAGTAGGGATCAACATTTTGGTGAGCATTGGTAGGAATATTAATCAAATTTTGATGATTCTAAGAGGAAGGTCCACTTGCCATCAAGGCGTTCTGAGCTATATTAATCGCTAGCAGTTATTCAACAAATTTACTTTACCTTAATTTCAGTCTATGACCTGCTTACGACCTTGTGGGGAAACTTTAATGTGCGTGTATTCTGATAAATAATGCTTTTTTATAATACTATGAACAACATATGGTTAACATGTTGGGACGAGAAAATAACTGATAACAATATGGGATAACTCAAACGTATCAAATAAACTAAACCGAAAACGTCGCTAAGTTTTTAACAGTAAATACTTGTCTTTTAATTGTTATAGCACCTACACATGACGACCCAACCATTTCAAATAGTTACTAAATGAGACCCAGTGATTGTGGGTTAAGTGCACACTACTGATAAGTCCCATACTATAATGAAACACATGTCTGGTACATCCTGGCTACCAATGAAACTCTAGCTGAGACCAGTCTGTGACTATTCATTCAAATAATTACATGATGCTTTAACCCTTAATAGAGCATGAATAGTTAGTTATAAAAGAAATAATATACCCTAAAGTTTGTTTGTTTTTTAATTATAGCAAACACTTGATAGTAAATTGGTTCCAGTGATAGTGAAAGTAAAATAGAATACACTGATATATTTAAAAGTACAATGTACACCATATAATATACAGTCACCTGTTTAACTAGATCTATCACAAACTTTTCCAGTTTGCAATTAGAAGTAAAAGGACAATAACATTAATATTGAGAGAGAGATCGATATTTGTAGAACAGTCTTAAATATGACTAAACATGTTAGATAAACAGTTTAATTTTAATGTAATGAGATGTGGTAAATATCTGATATAGGAGTAACAATCACAAATTCAATTATCAGGAACGAATTAGTATAATCAGTTTTTAAGTCACAATTTGGGTTTGAATGCTAGTGATACCAACCAGTTGCTTACAGTGAAGTAAATAAGAACGAGGTTCGAACGTTCGAACTGTTGACTAAATGTCAAACCATAGTAATAATAAACCAATATGTCAATTGCACTAGTTACTCTTCACAACTATACAATGTATCCCAATTCAGTACAAATACAATAATAGTGGCATGTAAAGTAGGTAAACACAAAATGTGGTTGAGAAAAATGGATGTATATTTACCTGATCCATATAAGCCCCTCTAACTAACTTTGCACCGAAGTAAAAGTTTTCTGTAGCAGCATGATTTAAGTCTTGAGTAAGTGATTCAAGTGCTTCCTATCAAGAATATTAAAAAATGAAATGAAAGCCTTAAATAGACAAGTCATTATTTTATTCTTTTATATGAAATACAATGCAATATCCATAACTTGTACAATTATGTTATGAAGAGTGAAAATGAATAAGTGTCGACTGCTTGATGACCTTTATTTTTATTCTTGTTTATTCACTGATAATAATAAACAAGGATAACTTCATAAAATATTTAGATAATTAACTTTATTATCTTTAAATTCTAAAAGTTATCATTCACCTTTGGCGAAGGCGAGATATCCGTCTATCAATAAAAGGACGAGTATACTGCGCGGCAGTTCGTTCTGTTTTAATTTACGGCAGCGAAACATGGCCCTTAAGAGTAGAAGACACCCGTAAGCTACTAGTATTTGACCACAGATGCCTTAGAAATATTGCTGGCATCTGCTGGGATCACCGGGTAAGTAATAGTGAGGTCAGACGCAGGGTATTAGGGAATGATGGTAAATCAGTTGATGAGGTTGTGAATCTTCAACGACTGAGATGGTTGGACCACGTGTTACGTATGCCTGAACACCGATTACCACGACGTGCAATGCTAACCGGGGTAGGGGATGGTTGGAAGAAAGTTAGGGGCGGCCAAACCAAAACGTGGCATCAGTGCTTGAAGTCACTAACTTCTAGTCTGAGCCATGTTGGTAGATGCAGACTACTTGGTTGGGGTCCGCGTGACTATCGTAACCAATGGTTGGAGACTCTTGGTGACATGGCTCAGAATCGATCACAATGGCGTCGGTGTATACACTCCCTGTCTTCCCTTAAACTAAGAGATTAAAATCACTTCATTCTTTCTGTCTACGAACTAATTCTTTCTTCCTATACTATATCCTTATTGCAACCTTTGACCTAACCACTCCTATGAATCCGGTGTTCATCTTGCTGTGCTAATGAGGTATGGCAACCTGGACCGATGCACATATGTGCCTGGTCCTACGTTGTAGCTGACTGACTGACTGAGATAAAATAATTGACTGTTGTTTGTACTCTAGGAGGTAAAACCCGACTTACACGTGAAAATAATTTGACGATTACTCAGTGTAATACTAAAGCATAAACCTAATCATTAACACTCCAAGACATCTGTATGAACGAACTAATATTCACTTTTATAGATTATATTTATTTAACAATCCTACTTGAGATGCACACTGTGAGCTTATAAATGTAATTTGTAGATCATGCCTATAAAAACGGTGTGTGCATGTCCTTGTAGAAATATATTATTATAACACACTAATCGTATGTGATGAAAATACCGACAAAGAGATGTTGAACTTTTTCAATAACGTTCACTTAGCTATTGAATTCACCGACGAAGAGAAGAAATACAATAGTATAGCTTTCCTTGATGTCCTACTTTCTAGAAGGATAGACGGTTCCATAAAACGAAACATATTTAGAAAGAATACATGGACAGGTCATTATACTCATCATTTCCAAAGCTTCACACTACTTCAATATAAAATAAATTTGGTTAAATGTCTCAGCCAGGAGTCAAAATCCAACTCACACGTCCTCGTCATGCCTCTTGGATAGTGAAACTCAGTCCTATGGACTAACGTAAGCGGTAACCTGGATGGTAGAGATAGGGATAATCACCCATTTGACCGATACCCTCCAACCAATTACGAAATCCACAAGCAATCACAGCACAATTACACTTGAATAGAAAAACGACAAAAAAAATTGACAAAAGTAGCACATGTAATGTACGGTATTACTCCTTACGGGGAAAACTCCAACCGATTGCAAAAACTGCTATTCTAGCCCGAGTAGTTGTGCTGTGCTTCGATATGACCTGTTTCTCTCCAGAAAGGCATACTAAGCTTCACCAACTTGTTTAGCTGGAATAGTGGTTTGCATTCTAGTTTATGTCAGAATATAATTATATTTTTAGAAAAAAAAAATTAGAGTTCTATATTTAGTTATTAAATTCTTCATTCATTTTCATAATTTGTCTTTTTCTCTGTTTGTTTCCAAGTGAAACTAATTTATTAAAAATGAATAAATTTGTCGATGTTCTTAGGTCAACCAATTCCATATGTGAAACAAAAAAAAAACTATTTAACACATAAAATCAGTATTAATTAGTAGTAGACTAAAAAAAATTAAATTTTTTTTCGGAATTTCTTTTGAAAGTTTTATTATTTGACCACTATCATTTAATTTAGATAAACTTAATTTTAAAAAAAGTTGAAGTAGTTGCTAACAGACGACAAAAACCTGATTTATATGTTAAAAAAGGAGATGGTTATTAATCTTTCCTTGCCTTGGTGACTGATATTCCTTTTGCTGTATCTTATTATGTTTCTTTTTCTTGCACTTATCACATCATTGAGTTTTATTCCAAATTAATAATCTTATTTTATCAACTAAACTCTACTCATTTTATTCCTATCAATGTTCTGTTACATAAGGTATATTATTTACAAAATTCAGTCTATGAAATTTATTTAAACTCTTGCTATACTATACGAATATGTCTTCAATATAACTTCCAATTAAACTCTTTCATGTAAGTCATTTAAACCTATTATATAATTATGACTCTTGAATATCACAGGTTGTAAGCAGCTGACGAGAACCAACGAAATAAAAATGAATTCATGCTATTCTACTAGAATGTTTGTTCTTGCTCTTTTTAAAATTGAAAATTTTTGTTGTTGTTGGATTAGAACCATTAATCTATTTTGATCCTAACTGGAAGAGAAAACACATTCAAACTTATATAAATGTAGTTTTTATAGTTGAATTGATAAGTCAATTGAAGCTAGACTACTATGGAGAACCTGGAAGCATTAGACGGCCGTTTCGTTCTAGTGTGGGACTCGTCAATAGTGCGCATCCACGACCCCGACTTGCGACATTCGAACCCAAGACCAATCGGTCTCTCACGAGAACACTTAACCTCTAGACTACTAAGCTGGCCGGAATCCAATGGTGTTAATGTCTAATTTCAACCAATCCACAAAATTAAGCCACCGTCTATCCTGGATACGCACTACTGAGGAGTCTCATACTAGAACGAAACGACCGTCAAGTGCTTCCAGGTTCTCCATGGTAGTCTAGCTTCAATTGACTCATCAATTCAACTATAAAACAGACCGTAAATAAAAATGTCAGTTGTATTGTGAAAGTATGAAATAACTTTCGAAGTTATGAAATGTAAAAAGCTAAACTCATCAAATATTGTCGATGAAGCCAAAACTACCAGTTATTTATTTATTTTTTTTAAACTTTTTATGGACATTGCTGATCATCAGTTTTAATAATCGTCATAATATTTTATAAATAGCTTTATTAATACATATGCAAATACTCAGTCACTTAGCTAATGGTTCTTATCTATTGAAATATATATATACAACTGATAATCCTGAATATTGGCTTAATAAAGAAGTGATTAGTTCAGTCTCCTTTATTCATCCCAGTATCTTATAAAATATATTCAGCGATCAAAACATTAGTAATCAGAATTTATGGTTGATTGAGTAATCTGATAAAAAGAAAATTTATCAGTTCAAGCACTTGACATAGAAAATGGTTTTGAAAAAAAGAAAGACAATAATACAACAGGGACTAATAAATAAAAACAAGATAGATTTAATTCCCAGTTTCAAGAAATACGACAATACTTACTGCATTCACATCAGTGCTAATAAAATACTCTTTTGATTATTTTGAAGATCTAAATTAACAGATGTCTTAATAAATTCGTTTGATAACATTTAATTTTCAAGGTTTTCAGAGCATAAAACTAGATCTGTCATACACTCCATAGGTTTATAATATCCTAAGGTTAACCATGGTGTCGTTTCTTTGATTAATGCTGAAATATAGGACTCAAGGAGTTTGTGAAAATTATTATAGCTTTCTATATAAGCAGATATATCACCCTCCAAATTGATACTGCTCAAGAATTTGAACTAACCATAAACGATGGTTTACTCCTTAGCAAGTTTAAAAATATGTGAAACTAGATAACATTGATTAAGTACGATAAAAGCCAGAGTTTTGCTACTGCTATCCCTTCAATAAAAACAAATTATCATTGTACCATCAATAAAAAAATAAGAACTATGAGATAGCGAACAGTTAGCTTTCACTGTCGTGTTCACACTTCGTCTAAATTATGGTCATCAATTATGATTTAATTTTGGGATATCGCGTTCGTGAAATCACGTCAGTAATCAAGCAACTACTTCATATTTTTCCAAAAAATCTTATTTCGTCAGTCAATTAGCTACAGCATACGACCAGGCACATATATGCATCGGCCCAAGTTGCCACATCTCATTAGCACAACAAGATGAACACTAAATTCATAGAAATAGTTAATTCAGTGGTGACAATATAAAAAAGATTGCATATAAGGACATAGTACACGAAGAAAGAATTAATGGGAGAAAGATATAAAGCATTGCGCGTCGTGGTAATCGGTACTCAGGCAAACGTAACACGTGGCTCAACCATCTCAGTAGATGGAGATTCACAACCTCATCAACTCATTTACCATTATTCCCTAATAATCTGCGTCTAACCTCACTATTACTTACCTGGTGACCCCTTAATTGATAGACGGATATCTTGACTTCGCCCTCGGACCTGTGGTTTGCTGGTTTTAGCCTTACCGCTCTTCAATCCACCTGTCTGGTATGATAGGACCTTGAGGAGCGATTGTTCCAGCCAGTATAGCTCGACTAGTTCATTATGATAGGCAAGTCCGACCACCACGTCAAAGTAGCAGCAAGGGTTGGGAATCTTATTTCGAGAGTAATGTTAAAGATCACTTCGTAAAAAATGAGATACCTTTTCCATATCATAGAAATGATGACGTGTCAATTATCCTAAACAAAAAGATCTCTTGTATTAAATAAATTTTCGGAATAATAAGCCAATCGTTAGTATACTTCATGATGCTTATGATACTAATTTGCATGATGAACGTGTAAAATTAGAAATATTGAAGTCTTATGGTAAGTTTTTTATCGGAAATCGACGATACGCTAAGGAACTATATTTTGAATTTTCTTGTATTTATCAAGGTAGTGGTGTGTGTTCTTAACGAATAGTAAACACCACATTCATCTTGAATGGGCGAGTGAAGAGAACAGCAAAATTAAATAACTAGAGGTCTGACTGTGTTCACAATCTAAACACTAAAATAGTGAACCAAAAAAATATTATTTACTATTAAAAGTACTTATAATTGTTGTTGAAAAAATTCAAAATAAGACAGACGTATTACTCGAATAATTTCAAATAAATTTCATGAAACAAACCTTCAGATAACACTGGTAAGTGCCAAATATTACAGCCTTGTCTTTATTAAATAGACGCATCATTTCTATAATCAATCTTCTTATAGCAGGTTGAAAATATGATTGCTCTGCATCCACCATAACTCGAACTCCAACAGATTTTGCATACTGAAAGATAAAGTGAATATGAACTATTATATCTACTAGTAATTACAACTTTTAAAAAAACTATTGTTCAATCAGTCATAGTAAGTCGTCTTAGTTGTGACATAAACGCCAGTGAAAAATTTTCATTAATGTGTTTTTACAAATTATTATGAATGACTAGTGCAAAAGGAAATAGAAATAAATGTCATCAGAAAAGAAAAGGTCATGACTTCAAGTGAAACAATGGAAACTGTAAAAGTAGTTGTAAGTTACTTGGAAAGATATTTTGTTTGCATGGAATACCTTGATAGAACTACGGCTACGAAGATAACCTTACTGAGAAATGTGAAGAAAATTAATCGGACCACCACAAGATGAACAGCAAAGCACCATGTAATAGAAAGAGTGTATATAAGATCACTCACTCTGAATACAATGAGGTTAAAGAGAATTGGCTTGACATTTATATAATGTCTGCAAAGAAAGACGAATAGCAAAATTGATGTAAGAGGCAAATACTTTAAGAAATAGTTGGTGGCTGTTGAGGCTCTGAAGAGGAATAACCAAAAAGCAACAACCAGTGACACGATAGTCAGAAATGATGGGTCGTCGACTCTTAGAACAGACACCCAAAACATTCAAAGGGACGATTTTAATTATTTACAACCATGATCTATTCGTCAATACTCAAATGACAACTTACTTAGAATATTAAGATTACCTTTTGAACATTTACTGGAGTTGTCAGAGTTGTAAACAAACTAAAGTTAATAAAACTAGTGGGAGTAGATATTTCAATTTAAGAGCTTCAAGGACAGCTAACGGGAACTCTTCGTTCGACTAAAAAAGGGACTAAGTAGGGATAGGAAATCAAAGATGGTACCATCAAATTGTTTTTTAAGGTCGACTATACTAGTTAGTTAGGAATCAAAGTCCTCTTGGAATAATCACTTAGGAATTAGCTTGGGTAGCAAAGACACTATAAACCTAGGGTCCAGTCATTTTACGTCTAATTGAAAACCAGAAAATCCAAGTGTGTGGAAGCTAAGTAGGCTTTAGGGCCATACGGATCAATATCCGTCATATTTCTACCCATCATCGAGTGTAGAAATACAAATGTACCGAAGCTGAGTACTGTCAACTTTCTTTGACCTGGAAGTGGTACTTGACCTTTCTGATAGAGAAGCAATTTGAGAATATTTAACGAGGAGATGGATGACGATCATTTACACATATGTACAATAAAAGCACTATATTTAAACTCATAGGGCTGTGTAGTTGCTCATGGAAGTGTTTGAAGCTAACTCCATTATTTCTAGGATTAATATCTAACAAGAGGATCTTCCAATCGACCTAGAGTATTAGAAAGTACAATCGTGTTAGTCGGGAATAATAAGATACAGGGTATCTTGAGTCCCCTTGACGAATCAGATGAGAATCATTAAGTAGGTCTCATTGTCCGAATATCCCAGAACATGGCATCTCATACAGTCAGAACAGATTGGTTATATCTCTAAACGTGTTTCTGAATTTCTGTCCTTTTGGAGAATTATGGTAATTTCTTGCAAGCGATAGTATTTTAGCGTGAAGGTTAGTAGCTTATCTCTATGGTGTTTAAGTGTCCGACCAAAGTTGTTATGTGTGGTGAAATCATAGAGTGAATCTCATTACTAATATGGTCAAAATGTCATTCAGGAAGATCATTACCACAATGTAGCAGTAAAAAACGTAAAATAAACTGTGAAACAGAGTTATCAGCAAAAACGTCGCCCGGTATAATCCATCGTTATATTGATCAAAATTACTACGGTTGATAGTATTTGACCCTAAAACTATATACGGGTAAAGACAGTTGTGAATGGATAATTTGCTTTAGATTTCTAAATAAGAAGTCATGTCTTACTGTAACACCTTATCGCATTCAACGTGTACTTGTCGAAATTAGGCTTAAAGCCATCATTAGTAAGGGTTCTGTTATAAGCTAGACTGTACTCTACGTAGTGACAAGAAAATTTTTGGAAAACAATACTTACGTTTGCTAAAGTATCGACACGTTTTATCATATTCCGCATTTCCTCAATACCTTCAGTTGTAAGTGTAGGTACAAGCTGTTCTACTTCACCAGTCTAGAATGAGGGTGAAATAACGAAAGACCTTTATAAGATAAATACTTGAAAATTAGATTATTAACAATGGTTATATGGTAATTTACAACTGATAAACTAATTTATAATTATTTAAAAAATTAATATCTAGATGAATCTTTTGGACTGTAACTAAAACTAAGAGCATTTTAAGCTGATAAAAGGGTGTTGCTCTGTGCTTTTAAAAACGTATGCAGACTTTATCTTTTCTACTTCGGCTTCATTGAGATTAGTTAGTCATACACCATAAGACCTGCAGCCTTTGCACTGACACAGTTATGTACTAAACTACAGTGACTAATACTTAATTAAAACTATGGAACTGTGAAAAATCCTTGGAAACTTCATACCAATTTGTTAAAAAGCTGACTGATTGGTAGCTGACAGAAATATCCATAAAGCTACCACTATAATTCTCTAGTCACCATTTGGTATAAAAAGTGACCTCACCTTTTTATTTTTTAGAATAAACAGACTTGCAAGGTCGTATTCAAAAGCCTTTAAGTGACTCCAATCAAGTAAATCTAAAACACTAAAGAAATTATTGACAAACTCAGAGTCATACCCATCTCCAGAGACATCCAACAAAGTAAACCACTTAACTTCTTCATCATATGCAATTTTCACGCCTAATGCTTCCAGTTTTTTACGAAAATTGTCTAGATCAAGCGATGCAAGTCCACCTTTCTGTCCATTATCCGCTTTGGTAAGTAAGAAGAACAGTCGTTTCATTTGCACTAAAAAGTCAGACATTTGTTGCTAAATCGTTAAATATGACAAGATACTCTTACCAAAAGTTGGGGTCGTCCGAGTGCTGTAAGTTTAATTGCAGTAAAACCACGATCTTCACCGTATTTTGAAGAAACATCAATACATTTCATAAATGTCTCCATATTATGGTCACACTGATATTCAGACTGATAAAAGTACGAGCGAGCCCCAACAACCTGCTCCGTACGATTGGCGAACCGAACACTGATTTGATACTGTTTAGTGGCTGCCTCTGGTCGTTTTTCGGGGGTTTGTAACACTTCACTTAAGCTTTTTCTAAAATGAAAGTATCAACTTAACCAACTAGTGAGTATAATGATAATTCAACTTATCATTGAAAGGAAACTGCGAAATTTAGTGAAAATCTAAATCCGAGTGACCGGGGAACAATGTAAATCTACTTCATGTGCATACAATTAATCATCTACCTGGAACAAGAATGAACAAACAAAGACATTGAAGACCGATATCGACAGACGTATAGTGGTAAATAAATTCCTAAATAAATAGTTCTGTAAGTCTCCGACATTGATGCTGACTTAATAGTTTTACTGGACACTCACAGCTAGAGGCGCCCGGCCACACGTCCGAACCAGATCACGAGTGGGAACGCCGTGTTTTGCATCCCTTACAACTACTAACCAGATAAGATCAAACGCTTCTGAACATACTGACAGCCTTTCAAATATATCTTTGAATTCACTCACTTCTGACTTCCAATCTGACTGGGTTAGTATCCTTCGATTACAAAGGTGTCACGGAAAATTCAATGTAAAACCCTGAATATCTGTGGCATTTTTAGTGGCCTTACCTTCAGTATATTGCTGAGGGAATCAAGTACTTTGTTAACAACCGTACAAAAGCTTGCGATCGTTTTTAATATCAGTGTTCCAGGTTTGAAGTGTCTTAATATCAATCAAACCAATATGCATCATCTAAACCTTTAAGTAAACGACATAGAGAATGTGAAGAATCCTACTGTAAGAGAGAATAAATGCAACTGAATATTTGTTGGTCGAAACACTAAACGCATACAAATATGTGAATACGAAGGCTTGAAAATAAATATTTAAACCAGTTTTTAGATACAAATGCACTCTAAATCTGATTATTTTGATCTTTTAGTATTTTTAAGGTAGTGAAAACAAAAACTGAGACGAAATTCACGGCACATCATTATTAGAAATATCATTTCCCTGACTGACTTCACTATCTGGACGGCCTCATCTTCTTGTATGTCCTTCTCAACACTATAGTCAAGTATTGACTTCACTCCATACTTCTTGAGACGCATAATTAATGGTTGAATACTGGCTTCATTTTCACCCGCAACAAAATGTCCATAGAATGTCATCTTCATTATTAACCGAAACAACGACCTTCCAAATATTTTCCTGGAAATATCCATAAGCTAAGCAATGTGGTGAGAATAGCAATATACCTTTTTGTTATACTTAACAAGTGTTGGAAAGGAGCATATTTTGAAAACTAGTAATGCACGAATAACTTCTGAATTTGACTTAGCCACATGGGCCAGTTTTGAATCTCTGAAACTAAAAGTTTGGTTATTACCTTAAAATAAATAATATAGGTGAGTTAGTTACTAGAGTTAGTATGTTCGTCATGCGAAGTAACTGAAATATTTTGATTCTGTCTGCCAGATATTGATGATAACATGGACTGACATTGGCTGATACATGACTGAGAAGCTAACGCAGGCTTTCGAAAGTGACTGAGAACGGATCTCAAGGGTGAAAGGGACATGAAGCCACCTCTCCCACGTAAACAAAACACTAGGATGAAAACTGAGCTAAATCACTCCCTTTGAGCTCCCATGCATTATAACAAAATTCATCTCGAAGGTCACTACAAACCTCATTTATAATGAACCATTTGTTTAGTACAATCACATTTTTTGTCTTATAGAACACGACACTAATAGGAAATCTTAAATAGCTTTTTAACATCCAGTGGCGATAAATCAGTTTCAGTTTGGAAAGGACAGGAGGCTTGATGGCCTGTGTTAGTCCTGGCAAGGGTGGTCTGTCAGTTGATCCAACTTTCTTTTGAATTAGTCGACGGATCGTGCCTCAAACACAAGCTGAGGTAGGCAGTTCCACTCGTTGATGATTCGATGGGAAAACCGATAGTCAGCTGACAAGTAATTTGTTCTGGGCTTGTGAACTTTTTGGAGTGTCCTCGTAAATTCTCTGTTTTGGAAGACAAGAAAAATGAGGGCATATCAGGTGCGAATTTATCACTAAGCAATTTGAAAACTGTAATCAAGTCGCCTCTAGTTCCACGATATGACAACGGGAAAAGGTTTAGCTTGGCCAGTCGAGCATCATACGGAATCTTCGCTGTTCCGAGGATCAGCTTAGTTGCCGTTCTCTGAACCTTTTCCAGAAGCTCACTTCCTTATTATAAGCAGGAGCTAGTCGCTTGTATGCAGTACTCAAGTTTAGGACGTACGAACACCGTATACAAAGTCAAAAACGTTTTAGCGTCGACATGACTAAAAGCCCTACGTATTGACCATAACGTTCTAAAACCTTTGGCGGCTATTGCACGGCAGTGTGCAGTAGTCTTTCGGTCTTGACTGACGATGACTCCTAAGTCATTATATGTCTGGGCGACAGGTAGTTCAGTGTTATTCATCGTGTATGTATCTGTACCTTGATGACCGATATGCATCACAACACACTTGGAAGTATATATCGGCAACTGCCAGGTTTGAGACCACTCAGATAATTTCTTCAGGTCATTTTGGAGTTCTAAGCTATCACTCTTACATCGTATCGTTCTCCATATCTTGACATCGTCAGCATATAGCAAGACCGATGATGATAGGAGACAAGGAAGGTCATTTACATACAAGAGGAATCGCACTGGCCCCAAACTGTACCCTGAGGCACTCCACTAAACACAGTTCCCCAGCTAGATAACTTTGAGTTCACACGTACTCTTTGTTGACGCCCAACTAAGAAGTCTTTTATCCACATAAATAGATTGCCTCCAATCCCGACATTTCTCAACTTATATAACAGCTGGTTGTGCGGAACTTTGTCAAAAGCTTTGCTGAAATCAAGGAAGGCGACGTCTACAGGTAGCTTTTGGTCCTTAAGAGCGCACCAGCTTTCACGAGCCACTAATAAGTTAGTGAGACAGGAATAACCTATTCTGAAGCCGTGCTGCTTCTCCGAGAGGATCCGGTTTTTATCGAGATACTTAAACAGCTCCTTCCGAATAATCTTTTCTAAGATTTTAACAACCACACTAGTTAGGCCAACGGGGCGGTAGTTCTCAGGTTTGTGTTTCGTGCCTGTTTTGAAGACAGGACTTACTATGGCGTTTTTCCAATCTTTCGGTAAGCCACCCTGCGTAACGGATAGGTTAAAGCATGTACTTAAAGGGTTTGCAACAAGTTAGATAGTTCCTTTAGTAGCCTAGGATGTAATTCATCGGGCCCCGTGGATTTACCTATATCAAGCTTATTTAGTAGACCAAAGACATCGAGTTCTTTAATGGTCACGCTATCCAGTGTATGTGTGGGGGATCTGTATGAACTGACGGGAAGGGTGCTTCTATGGTTATACGTTGCTAAAGTAGTTCGAGAACATTTGAGCCTTACCAAAGTCGTCCTCAAATAATGATGATGCAGTATTGTCTCCCCATAGAGCAGGAATATTTCCTCTTCTCTTTGTCCTTTGGTTTATATAGGAATATAAACGCCTAGGACATTCTGTGGATTCCTTAACAATCTTTTCTCCGTACAACTTTTAGAATTACGAAGGGTCAGGGCACAAGTATTCCGAGCTTTTTGATACTGAGATTTTGTCTCATCGGTCCCCAGTAACCCAAATCTATCACACATTTTTCTTCCCTTGCGGAGAAGGATGCGGACCTCCCTACTGAACCATGGTCGAGAGTTTCTCGGCCCCTTTGGTATAGTCCAAGGGATGTGGGGTGTGGTAACTTTTAAGTATGAATTTCGAAATGCGTCCCAAGCCGTTTCAATCGAGGACTCTCGGTCTATTGTCCAATCTACTAACGATGCCGAGTGCATAATGTCTGGTATATTTGCTTTCCAGACGTTAGGTCTGGATTGGGCTGACGCGTGTCCGTGACTGATAGTTACATGGAAGTCGAAAGTTAAAACTGCGTGATCACTTTTACCTAGGGGTGGCATGTAATGGAGGTTCGTGACGTCATCCTCATAGTGAGTCAGTATGAGACCTTGTAAGGATGATTCAGTGTCCGGGTCGTACCTTGTCGTTTCTTGCACATGTTGCACCAGGGTATATGTGATAACCACATCAACTAGTTCCTGCTCGAAGGAATTTTCTGACGATTCAGTTCGCAGATTTACTCAGTCTACCATCGGTGCATTAAAGTCCCCTACTATTGGACATCGAGCACTTTGTGACCAAGTGTTGAAACTGCTTAAGTCTTTAGAATAAAGAATTCCGTAAGTCTTCGATATTGATTCTCCCGCCATTTGTTCTACTGGAAACAAGCTTAGCTGAAGGCGCTTGGTCAAACATCTGCAAATGATCACGTCTTGGTAGGCTGGACTGTACAGCCCCCGCAACAGTTAGACTGTTCATGTACTTCTCCACTCATTGATCACTTTTTATACATACCTACAAACCTCACTCATTTCTCACTTTTGATCTGACTGAGTTTTGGAGCCTGGAATAAAAAGAAGCCACGAACAGTGACGTTATCAAGATCTGAGTATCCGTGACATAATTTATCTTCCGAAAATGCTTATTGGAGCTTAGTCTCAGCATTAAGTTTTGAATCTTAACACACAGAATAGAAGTTCGTTAACCTTCCCCGGATCGTAGCAGTTAGTTTTACTCCTTGATTGTTAGTAGTCCGATGTTATTTGAGGACCCCCCCCCCCAAAAAAAATTTACGAATATGTAATAGTACATTAGACTGATTTGCTATAACTTCTTGTTGTCTTCTATTTTGGTGTTTTTTCCACATACACATTTGTCTAGATTGTAGACTCAAAGGAGTCGTTTTTGTTACCCTTGTAAACCCATTAATATCTCTTTTAAATCGGCGTGATGAGGAACATAGCATATAACCTAATTACAATCCGCGTGGTCTTTACCTTTTTTATCTCTATTTCTTTACACGAATTTAACAGTGTATGGTAATACCAATTTTTTTCAATAACCGTAAGTTGCGTGAGGCATGCCCACTTATAGGCAAGTTCAAGTTGTTAGAAACATTGCCTCTTTATGTCAAACACTTCATTAAGTCACCGTATTCGGATAATATTTTCATTAACACTTCACTTTAGCAATCGACTAGAAACCCTTAGTGCAATATGTTTATCACACTTCACTTCTTTTTGTTTGTGGCCGCACGTTTTTTTACCTCATAACGAATTCTGTATCCACTACTACTCTCAACACTTCATCATCTAATCAGCTAAGTTCTGACAATCGCAGTTTAGTCTTTTGATCGATGCCCAATAAACCTCAAAGACGTTTAACCTCGCCTGATGCCTATAGAATACAATAATGATGTAAATACATCATTATAGCTGGTAGTATGAAACAATGTAAAAGTTAATAATAATAATAATTTATTCTCAAATAACAGTTTGTTACATGAGGCATGCCAGTTTACAGGCAAGATCAATCCGGATAGTACGTCAACCACTGTACAGGCACGATAGATCTGAAACATGTATTTATAAAAAAATATAATCGGGGTCGTCGTTAGGGATTGTTTATTGCTATCAGATGTGCTTATTATCTGCGGACCGTGATACATGATATCAGTTTTGGCGTTGATTGAGTCCTTGAGGTCAGCCACAGTTTCTGATAGTAATAGACAGACATCATCCTCCATTGCAAAGCACTCGATTGAGACGGGTCATAAGATTGATGTCAAATCAGCATTTCTAGTGTTATACGAAAACCTTCAAGGACTTATATTAAGGTTTACTGAAGCCTTGGTTATACGGAAACTAAAACCCACTTAATGAGTCAAAAACAGTTCGTCCTTACACCTGACCTACCCTAGTAATACTGATTTATTATACAGAATGGTAATCACATTTGTTTTTGTGTAATTTAATATTTTTCCTTTGTTATGACTTACCCTTAATCTATCTAGTCGACCTTATAATTTTCATATACAAATGTTCTTCAGTATATGTGTGATGAGATTGTTCGAAATGTAATGCGCAAATATATCACATAATTCTGATAAACTTCGTCTTCTCATTGAATCATCGAAATTTTAATAAGTGACCGAAAAAAGTGTCACTTTTGAGTGAACCATTACAAGCGACAAATGATGTCGAGTCACACGTTCTGTGGTTGGTTTTCTTTATACCTGAATCTGAGATTCGAGGTAGTGGGAGGTCATGTATAACTCACC